AACTTAGAGAAATTGTCTAATGCGACAATTAGACAATGCCCCCTCTGGCAAGGGGGTTGGACTAGATGATCTCTAGAGGTCCCTTCCACTCCGTGGATCCTCTTTATCTGATTGTTCAGGCTTTAAAAATGGGTTTGTCAGTTATTCCAATCGATCCCAGGCGACTAATGTAACATCTACAACTTTTCCTGTATTTGCCAGTTCATCCCTTCTGTTTTCGCTCTGTTTTTCTGTGGAATGTGTAACACTCTGGCTGAGGAAGATCTTTTCTTAGACCCAGAAAGATCCTTTCTTAGATGTTTACCCCTCGCAGATGACGGCAGGAAAGAACCGGTGAGGAGAGCTCGTGGATCTAAACAGCAACGTTGGCGTTTTGATTTTTGGTGGGCAGCTGCAGGATTGTTGAGCCGTTCAGGCACTGAACATTCCACATCTTTTGCTCCCTTCGAGAAAGGCAAGAAACTTGGAGGTGATCCTGAGGCAGCGTTCTTAGGGCATGATATTCCAGAGGCTATACCTGAAAAGTCCGTGCAGGATAATTCCTGAGTGACGGGTTAATCAGGCTTCGGTGACGTGTCCCTGCAGCGCTTTGTAATCGTGGGGAGACCAGCTTGCTTCTTCGGATCTCATGTCAAGGGCACTGCTGGCAGGTAATTCACTCCTTTGCTGTGCAGAGAGCGTGAAGGGGAACGGGAACTCCGTTAAAATCGTGGCCAGTCGCATGTGCTTGGCTGCGGTGGTGTGGGATAGTGTTCTGTGACTGTCCTGCGGCCCGAATGGCCTCCTGCGCTCTGACACCCGCAAGGCAGGGAGGCGTCTGCAGGGAGAGATGGAGCCGCGGTAACACCACGAGTGTAAGTGTCCGAGCTGATGGCAGCCCTTTACACAGCGTCTCCTCCCCTGCTTCCTCTCTGCCTTCAGCTCCGGCCTGTCTGCTGCTTGTGCAGCCTCTGGAGGGTGGTGAATGGGAGCAGCTGGCCTTGCCGTATGGAATCCCAGCACAGTTTGGGTGGGAAGGGACCTCACAGCCCCCCCAGTGCCACCCCCTGCCATGGGCAGGGACACCTTCCACGAGACCAGGTTGCTCCAAGCCTCATCCAGCCTGGCCTTGGGCACTCCCAGGGATGGGGCATCCACAGCTTCTCTGGGCAACCTGTCCCAGTGCTCCCCACCCTCTGTGAGAAGAATTCCTTCCGGATGTCCCACCTCCATCTCCCTCTTCCCATTTAAACCCGATATCCCTTGTCCTGTCATGGTTTCTCTTGCTTGTTGGTAGCACGTCTCTGCCTCGTGTCAGGCAGGGAGTCTGGCTCATGGGTTTAGCTGGAATCCAGGGGCTCCGGTAGGTAATTGCTGGGGGAAATGGCGGTTACGGTATCTCCAGCCTCGCTCCAATGTGAGGCAAGTTCCCCGGACTGGTTCCAGCTCCGCAGGAAAATGCGGTTGTCTTGGAAGCAGGGGGTCGGGAAGGTGGAATGGGGGATGCAAAGCCCAGGAGCCAGAACATCTAATATTATCACAGTGGTTGTTTTGGTGTTGCGGAAGAGTCACTTGTGTCTTGATAAAATAGTCTTTCCAAAAACCAATTTAAAAGGTCAAATAACTAATCCACCCCAGGAGTCTGTCTGCTGTGGCTTTTACAGAGGCGCTAGCACTTGGAACAGGCCAGTTACAGTGCCAGAAATGAGCTTTTCTTCAACATGATGTGCGTGTGTGATGTGATGAGGAGATAAAGAGAACAGTAGTGAGTCCCAAAACCTCTTAAGCCAGGGCAGGGTATTCGCATAGCTGGAAGTACCAGGAAAAATCAGGAAATCGGGTATATTTGCAGATCACTTTACACCCCCGAATGCTGCTTTTCCTTTTATGAGCAGGTAAGGAGCAAGGCTTTGGTGGCTTCCAAGCTGAGTGTGTTGCGAGGTCTTTACCAGGGGATGATTAACAGGCGGTGGACAGCTGCTGGGGGAAGCCGTTAGTCAGAGGGTGCACATTAAGTGCCAAGACACGACTTTCTCTGCCTTGGTTGACATTTAAGCCTAACGAAATCTGTCCTGCCGTCTTGCGTGAGGGTGAGCTGGCTAACTTCCCTCACTTCCGCAGGGTCCTGCTGTAACTGTAGAAGAATTGTTTGGTATTTTTGCCTTTAATTTAGACATTTAAAAACATTTAATTAGTCGATGAATCTGGGAACAAAAAAAAAAATCGTATTAGAACAATGTAGTGATTGTAAGTGAAATTTTACACTGATACTGAATTTCATTGCCTGTTTTCCCCTGGAATTGACTGAAATTTAGCATCTGTCTTAGGACCGCACAGTGAAAGAAGCCCTAAAAGATACTAAATATTCCCTGTGCCTCCTTACCTTGGGCTGTGAGTTCCGCTGCGTTGCTGTCACTTCTGTAATCTGCTTTCTGAAGAAAGGGAGGCCTCTGTGGCAAAACTACACTGCTTCATTTTCCCTTTCCACCTAATTAAGTGACTTCCATGACAAATAGGATTTGAACTCGGGCACCAAGTTTCGAAGTTAAATGAGTTGTAATTCCCTGTCACGTGTCTAACGTGCAGATCCGTAGGGCTCGAGTGCTCACGGAGGGGCCATGGTTTGTGTGCTCCAAACACAACCCCTTTGACCAGGGTTTCTTCACGTGACGTTGCTGTGTGCGTGTGCAGCTCTGGGCTTTGCCAACCCAAAATCAGCAGCTGACACGTTGAGCGTGAACGTCCCCTGTCCCGCGCCCCTTTAACAGCTGTCACCGAGTCTGAATGTCTCCGTTCCGGACGGCGTCGGGGCGAGGTGTCTGTCTTTCCACTGGGCTGTTGGTTCACCCAATACAAACGAGCTGCTCCACTTGAGGGGTGAAATCCTGTTGCTCACAGTAAGTTGCGCTTGTAACAGAAATTCTAGCACAAACAGTGTTTGCCATTTTTGTCTTCAGAATGATTGAGGAGAGTGGGAAGAGGAGGAGGACAATGGCAGAGAAGAGACAGCTGTTCATGGAAATGAGTAAGTAAGACACTTGAAGGCATAATGTCATTTATTCTTTACTGAGCTTCTCTTGAACAGCTCTACCAGATCACTTACATCCTGTTTCCACGAGAGCGTTGCCTCATCTGATGAAAAGCATCCTGGGTGCTCCGGGTGCTGGTCAGGAGGAGGATACGGGAGGTGGGTGACAACTGCCCAAAGGGTCTTTCGTTTCTAGGTGTTGGGAAGCTCCTGTTTTAAGGGCCAGGCGTGTTTCTCGTATATGGCAATTCCTAAGGACTGTGGACAGCTGTTAACATGAACGCTGACAGCAGGCGGGTGTCGTTTACCTTAACGGAACTGCACCCCCGTGCTAGTGCGACGGCGGGGAGAGACAGCCTGGGGGTTGCTTCTGTACCACCGTTCTCTGAGAGACCGCGGTTGTTAGAACGCAAACGCCGACCCAGAGACAGGGTAATGCAGAGGAATGAGACGCAGCCCTTTGAAGAGCCAGGTGCGGTTGGAAGTCAAAGACTGTATTTGCCTGCCAGCATGTTGGTTTTCTTTCCTACGGGAACACACGGTGGAACGAAACTCCTGGGTCAGGCAAGCGTGTCCTGTAATTCCGGTTATGGGCTGATGAAGGTCTGTCCGCACAGATAGCGTATCCGTGCTGTTTTGCTCCGGAGTAACATTCTTACTGTGGTTGGAAGCATCTTACTGTTTCAAGAACAGTCTCATCCCTGGCTAATTTATATCTGCTGCCTCCCCTGTGAACCTTGTCTTGGATAGTATTTCTCCCCACCTTCCCAGCCTGCTTCACGTTTGAGGCTATCGTTGGGTCCCTTTTTGGGTCAGCACCCAGCAGAAGCAGAATCCTGTGGTCTCCCTGCTCTACACCATGTCTCCAGTTCTCCTCGGCCCCCTCTCAGCTTTACGTGGGCAAGGGTGACCGAATTGTGCGCGATACCCTGCATGAAATCCGTGTAAAATGACAGTAGTACTTCACTAGGAACGCTCTGGCTTTGGCAGCAGAATATTACGTTTGTCTCCTCACTTCCAAGTGTTATGGTCATCCTGTGATCCTTTGGCACAGAAACTGATGTGCTGTTTTTGGCTTCGGCTGAATTGTTAGAAATATTCAGGATTCCTCTGGTTATCTTTACACAAAGTGTCTCTGGTTCTTCCTGTTCGTTACCGGTGGAGGTGCTGGTGCAGAGACACCCAAGTGCCCTTCTCCGGGAGGCCCTGTAGCGTGGCCACATGAGAAATCCACAGTCTTCAGGCTTCACCTGGCCTGGGGTGGGATATGTCACTGTAAAGCGAACACAGACGTGTGCTCCTTTCCAGCTGAGCCTCGTACGCAGATGTGGTGTGTAAAATTGATGCTCTCGCTGACCGTTTGTGTGGCCAACACGCACGCTTGCAGAAGCGTTTCGTGGCTGACGGGCGTTCGCCCCGCTGGACGTGCTGCCCGAGGGGGCTCTGTTGGTGTTGTAGTGCTTGTGGAGCCGCTGGAGAGGCGGGAACCGTGTTGCCTTTTCCAGTGTCTCTGAGCTGCAGGATGCAGAGGGGGTTTGTCTTGCGGAAGGGTGTAAAGAAGGTGGAGGCAGGCTTTGCTCAGCCCGGAGGCAGGACACAGGGCAGCGGGCACAACACGCAGCAAATTTGGTCTGAACGTTTGCTTCGAGGGTGGTGGAGCACTGGGAGAAGCTGCCAGGGCCGCTGTGGAGTCTCCATCCATGGGGATACTCAAAACTCAACTGAATAGTCCTGGGCAGATTGCCGTAGCTGATCCTGCCGGGGCGGGGAGGTTGGCCGGGATGATCTCCAGCCTCAGCTATTCCACGGTTCGGAGCAGTAGGCATTGTCTTCAAACACGTCCCGTTGTGTCTTCAGACCTCTTGGAGGAATGACCCTGTTGGAGCTTCTCAGGGAGTGTGAGATGGGAAGATGAGACCAGAAAATGGATATTTTTCTTCTTCTTCTTACATGTGGCTCTTAAATGTCTTTTTCTATATATGTACAACCTTATACATCTGAAAAATGTACATTCATGTACACTGTATATGTGTTTTTGTAGGTATGTTTTAGGTGGGCAAAGCATTTTGTGAAGACCCGTGGTCTGAAGACTCACAGGCTCCAAAAGCTGAGGAAGGCCGGGAGTGACAGAACAAGCGGGTTTAAACGGAAAGAGGGAGTTGGACATGGGACATCGGGAAGGAATTCTTCCTGCAGAGTGTGGGAACACGGGGACAGTTTGCCCAGAGAAGCTGTGGATGCCCCATCCCTGGGAGAGTCCAAGGCCAGGCTGGCTGAGGCTTGGTTTCTGAATTCAGAACGTGGGAGGGAGTAAGTTCCCTCCATTGAGGAAGATTCCGGCTACAGCAATTGGATACGTTCACTGGGTGGGTGTGGGTTTGGGTTTTTAAGTATGTTTTAGGAGTCTGGCTCCTGTAAGTCACAGTTCTCCCCGTTGCTCAGTTCTCCACTTATCTAGGCTCTGGCTTTTGGGAGAAGTACGGAAGGCTGCAGCAGATCCTGCTTTTGTGCCTTTCCATGAGAATGCAAGAGGCGCGGGAGCCACGTGCATCCATGAGGCTGGATTGGTGCAGGCTGTGCCTTAGAATTACACTGATGATAGGATGTTGCCACCGACGCTGTGCTCGTGTGAGCTGTCCAAAAGACATTTTGGGTTACGATTAGTGGGATTTTCAGGACTTGCTGGTGGTTTCCAAATTGAAATGGTCGGTACTGGACTGTAAACCAGTATCGCTTCTCATCCCTACAGCGTTTCCATCTGCTGCCGTCAGCGTAGGAGGTGCAGGAGGCACGCAGGGCTGCTTGGCAGAGGGTTAGCACGGCTTTCGGGAATGGCTGGAGCGTGCAAGGTTCCGGGGAGTCGCTGGCACTGGCAGATGCGGTACGGCCGTGTGACAGATACCACCACGCAGCGCTCCTGTGCCGCGGCCGCGGCTGGAGGTTCACATCTTGAAGTGGGAGGCGGTTGGTGAAGATAGATCACTGTTTGGTTTTCTTCTAAGCTTCTCCTTCTGCTTCTTACCTGGTTTGGATCAATTTGGGAGTCCAAAAGCATGCTCCTGATGGGGCTGCCGTGCAGGGAGGGGTAGGAGCACCACCCCCTTTTCGTTGTCTCTTATCTCTTGTGTCCCTGTCTGCCAGCATCACTGCCGTCCTCTCCTTACCCGCTCACCCCTTCGCTCTTGGTTCCTTCGAAGGTACTCGGATCAGGCTCAAACCGCGGGCAGTTGGTGATACACCACGGAAAATCACCTCGCCCTGAGGGACCTAGTGGGAATCTTTGTTCAGGTGGCAAAGATGATGTGTGTGAAGATACACTCGTGCCGTTTTTAAGTAAATCTCTCAAATGACCTGTGTGTTACAGAGGAAAGAAAAACACAAACTCTTTTTTTTTTTTGTCCATAGGAGCACAGAATTTCGATGTCATCAGACTTTCAACGTACCGAACAGCCTGTAAACTGCGGTTTGTACAAAAAAGATGTAATCGTAAGTTACAATTCCTCTTTCCTTTCGAAAATGTCTCGAGCACGATTGTTTCACGTGTTCTACCCGTGTACCCTTGAAGTGCAGCGAGAGTAAGCAAACAGTCAGACAATGGTAGTTGTTCCTGAAACTGAACAGGTTGAATCTATAATTAAAAAGAGGCAGCAATCGTTGTCCAATCTTCCAATATCTTTGGTTTTGTTCTTTAATGCTTCACAGATTTAAAATCTATGAGCCACCCAGTGCCTGGGGGGCTACAAGAAAGCTGGGGGGGACTTTTCCCAAGGGCAGGGAGTGACAGGACAAGGGGTGACGGGTTTGAACGGAAAGAGGGAGATGGAGATGGGACATCAGGAAGGAATTCTTCCCGCGGAGGGTGGGGAGCACTGGGACAGGTTGCCCAGGGAAGCTGTGGATGCCCCATCCCTGGGAGTGTCCAAGGCCAGGCTGGATGAGGCGTGGAGCAACCTGGTCTAGTGGAAGGTGTCCCTGCCCGTGGCAGGGGGTGGGACTAGATGATCTTTGAGGTCCCTTCCCACCCAAACCATTCTATGACCTTGAGGTATTTGGGTTGCCCGAAGTGTTGGATGCAGGCAGTGTTGAGCCTTTGGAGCTCCTCTCCCGTCTCCGTGTACTGCGCACCGCTGGCAGCCAGGCAGAGGCGTGACTGGTGATGTACAATACCCTGAGCGCGCCCGGGTCTGATCCTGGAGGTGTACATGGATCGTAGCAACCGTCAAGAATTCTTTAAGGCCATACCACAGTGGGCATTGTAAATTTTCTCCTCTTCCATGGTCCTTTGACCTCGGATAGCTCCCCAAACAAAGTGTGATCCAGGGTGGATAGGGGATGGTACTGCACGTTCTGCTCTGGCTTGCCTGGGGCAAAGCAAAAAGCTGAGCAGAGGAGTGTGTGCAGGCGTCCCTCTTCCCCGTGGAGTGGAATTAACGTGAGTCTGTGCAGGAGAACGCCGAGGAGTCCTGCAGAGGACGTGCAACCCCACGCTGCGGGTGGTAGCTCCTCCGCAGCGTGCTGACCCCGGGGCGTCTGTCTTAGGGCTGCTGTGGCATTACCCGCGGTGCCCTCAGTTGGATGGATGGCTCCCAGCTTTTCCACTCCTGTGGAAGTGCTGGTTCTCGTCTGTGAGTCACGCTTCCGAACGGAACCTCTCAATCAGTAGAGAGGTAGTAAGAAATGCTGCTTAGAGTACAGTGCGTGCTTTGGGCCCAACGCACCCGTGTGGTGCGTATGCCTTGAGTAGCCCCTACTGTCCGTGTAGGAGCGGCTGCGCAGTTGGGATCTTTGGACTGTGCGGTGATCCGGGGCATTTGGTGGGAATACCTTGGCTTGTCGTGTGGATGCAACGGTAGAAATACACAGAGTTTGATGTAAGGGAGGTTAGAGGTCACGCTCTTACTTCAGACCCTTTTGTGGAAGTTAAGGATGACGACAAAGCCATTGTGAGTTAGCAAGTCTGTCCTTTTAGCTGTCGGATCACGCTCGGTTTGGACCGATGGATCACTGTTGATCCTTAGATGTCTTCTCCCACTATCACACACACCTTTAAAGCATTGAAACACTGAAAATGCTCTCTAAGGTGGTTCTGCAGACCCCTGCGGGTTTGGAGAACTTCCCCAACGTTATTAACGCTCAGATGTGCGCGGAGATAGGTGAGGTAACGTAGGGCAGCGCTTTGGAGCTCTACGCTGGTGTTTACAAACCGTTATGCTCTGGACTTGGCAGCTGGATCAACTGGAAACAGCCATAGTTTAACTGGAAAGTCAAGTTCCTCTTTCAGTAGCTACTAGTCAGCACAGGGATGTTCAAATTTACTGCAGTTTGTAGTGGATTTACGATGTTCCTGTCTCAGATGAACATTCCAGGTTGGATGTGGCTTTGAGCAACCTGGTCTAGTGGAAGGTGTCCCTGCCCATGGCAGGGGGGTTGGAACTAGATGATCTTTAAGGTCCCTTCCAACCCAAACCATTCCATGATTCTATGATTCCGAACTCTGCCGGAACGCCCTGCGTGATGATGGAAGGTCGCTTTTCCCCTCCGTGTGTTTCCTGTCAGAGCACCCTGATGTCGAAGGGGGGAATAAAGGGCACGGGAGGTGTTTGGGCACTGCTCTGTTACCCCAAACTGTATGAACTATGAGTGTGGGTGTCAAGAATCTGTCTCTCACTTTGAATATAAATAACCGTGCGTTCCACCCTGAAGGCTCTAACGTACCTCTCGGCAGCAGTGCCCTAACAGTGAGCTTGCATGCGTTACAGAACACAAGTTAATTCTTTTTCCTTTATTTTTAGTTCATCTTGTTGATATCTGGAATATGATTGAAGCCTTCCGAGATAATGGCCTTAACACTTTGGATCATAACACAGAGATCAACGTGTCTCGACTAGAAACAATCATTTCATCCATCTACTACCAGCTAAACAAACGCCTTCCTTCTACTCACCAAATCAGTGTAGAGCAATCCATCAGCCTCCTCCTCAACTTCATGATAGCAGCATACGACAGGCTAGTAACTCCTCCGTTGTCTTCTCACGCTCGCTTTCTCTTTCAGTTAGCCGAACGCAGCCCGCAGCTGCCTGGCTCCGGCAGACTGCCCACACGCCGCTTCTCGAGGCGGTGAAACCCTGTGTCGCCCACACGCCTGCGTTTCCTACCCCAGCGGGGCCTGCAGAGGTTTGCAGCGCCGCAGCAGCGCCGCTTCGGCTTGAGTCTTGCTTCCTTAGGAGGGATGCGCTAGTGCCGTCCGGAAGGAGCTGACGACGAAGCGAACCTCTTCTGCAGACGGTGATAGACCAGAATGGTAACCTCGTGGTGGTATAGCGCTGGTTTAAAAAGTGAAAGTGTGTTACTGAGCCTTGATCAGCAAGGCCAGTTTATAACACCACTGTGTTTAGACAGTCAGCTTGGATCCTGTTGTAACATCCTGTGACCCCACAGCAGCCAATTCCCATTTTGTGGCCAGGAGAATCTTGGTTTCTTGTTCCGGGCACCGCCTAGGTGTTTCCTTGTGTCCAGTTTTAGAAGTTCCTTTCACAGCCTCTTCCTTTGGGTTTGGTCTGTGGGTCTGGGGTCAGGCATGCCTGCGGGTCTGGGGTCAGGCATGCCCCTGCGGGCTCTCCGAGTAGCAACTGCACATCTCTCGCTATTGTTCAGCACTTCTTGCTCCCGTCCTCGCAGTCAGCTGTTACCTCAGCCTCACCTTCCTCCTGCTGTTGCCCTCTCCCCTGGCCGTGGAGAGCTGCCTGTGGCCAGGACGCTCTCGGGGCCGGGTGAGTTTTACCCAAGGCAGTCTGCAGCACTGACTGCAGTTGTTCTGTTTGTAATGTCCAGACCTTGACCCTCTCCTAATGTGCCACCTCCTTATGGTCACCAAGCAGAGGCTAAATTTCCGCCCAGAATGTCCAGGCCTTCAGAACGATCCCTGTCTCGCTAACGTCAGGTGATGAGGGGACAGAGCTTGCAGCAGGAAGCAGCTACGACAGCAGAACCGAGTGCGTATCTTTGTGTTTGGTTCTGAGCTGGTGTCAGCTGGGAGACGAGCTGTAAGGGTGAGCTGAGGGGTTGAGCTGTTCAGAGACAGACCACATTATCTTTATATTCTGTATTTTCTAGAAAGGGTCGTGTTCTGGGGAGCTGGCTCAAAAGTTCCAGGCTTTAGTTAGATGTTTTTCCGCTCCCAAGTTCTGCCTCTCCTGGAGCCCAGGCAGCCCCCATATCC